ACCTCAACTTTCGAACCTGTCGATCCAAAATGGACACCAGCTCCATATCATAAGTCAGATCACCTTCCAACTGAACTGTGATAAAATCCAAGACATGAGACGGATCGCCGACATACTTTCGGAGCATAGAAACATGAAATACTGGATGCACACTCGACAAACTAGGTGGCAAGGCAAGCTTGTAAGCCACCTCCCCAATCCTTTAAAGTACCTCAAATGGCCCAATATACCGAGGGCTCAGCTTGCCCTTCTTCTCGGACCTCATAACACCCTTCATGGGTGAAACCTTGAGCAGTACCTTCTCCCCAACCATGTAAGCAACATCACGGACCTTCCTATCGGCATAACTCTTCTGTCTAAATTGCGCCATGCGAAGCCGCTCCTGAATCATCTTAACCTTGTCCAAAGCATCCTGGACCAAGTCAGTACCCAATAGCCTAGCCTCCCCAGTCTCAAACCAACCCACTGGAGATCTACACCGTTTCCCATACAAAGACTCATATGGAGCCATCTGAATGCTTGACTGGTAGCTGTTGTTGTAGGCAAACTCCGCGAGTGGCAGAAACTGATCCCAAGAACACCCAAAATCCATGATACAAGCGCGTAGCATATCTTCCAATATTTGAATGGTGCGCTCGGATTGTCCGTCCGTCTGAGGGTGAAATGTTGTGCTCAACTCACTCTGGGTACCCAACTCTCATTGCACGACTCTCCAAAACTTCGATGTGAACTGTGTGCCCCAATCTGAAATGATGGACACTGGTATGCTGTGGAGGCGAATAATCTCTCGGATGTAAATCTCAGCCAACTGCTCCGAAGTATAAGTAGTCCCAACTGGAATGAAGTGCGCAGACTTGGTCAGCCGATCCATAATTACCCAAATAGCATCGAACTTCCTTGAAGTCCATGGGAGCCCAATTACAAAATCCATGGTGATCCGCTCCCGTTTCCACACTGGAACCTCTAACCTCTGAAGCAATCCGCCCGGTCTTTGATACTCATACTTTACCTGCTGACAGTTGAGGCACCAAGCTACATACCCCACTATATCTTTCTTCATTCTTCTCCACCAATAATGTTGCCTCAGGTCCTGATATATCTTCGTGGCACCCATATGAATGGAATACTGCAAATAGTGGGCCTCCTCAAGAATCAACTCACGTAGCCCATCCACATTTGGCACACAAATCCGACCCTCCATCCTCAATACCCCATCTTCCCCAATAGTAACATCTTTGGCATCACCGTGCTTAACTGTTTCCTTAAGGACAAGCAAATGCGGATCATCATAATGGTGCTCTCTGATGCGATCATATAAAGAAGACCAAGAAACCACACAAGCCAAAACTCTACTCGGCTCGGAAACATCCAATCCGACAAACTGGTTGGCCAAGGCTTGAACATCCAAGGCTAAAGGCCTTTCTGCTACTGGTAGATATGCTAAACTCCCTAATCTCTCCGGCTTGCGACTCAAGGCATCGTCCACCACATTGGCCTTTCCGAGATGATAGAGGATGGTGATGTCATAATCCTTATGTAGCTCCAACCATCTCCGCTGCCGCAAATTAAGATCCTTCTGTTTAAACAGATATTGTACACTCCGGTGATCGTTGAAAACCTCACAAGGAACACCATACAAATAGTGCCGCCAGATATTCAAGGCATGAACAATAGCTGTTAACTCGAGGTCATGGACAGGATAGTTCTTCTTATGCACCTTCAGCTATCTAGATGCGTAGGCAATCACTCTACCGTCCTGCATTAACACTGCACCGAGACCAATGCACGACGCATCATAATATACGGTATAAGATCCCGAACTAGTAGGCAACACCAACACTGGGGTTGTAGTCAAAGCAGTCTTGAGCTTTTGAAAGCACTCCTCACAATCTTCGTTCCACCTGAACGGAGCACCCTTCTAGGTCAATCTGGTCATAGGTGCTGCAACGGACGAGAAACCTTCTACAAATCAACAGTAATGCCCCGCAAAGCCAAGGAAACCCCGAATCTCCGTAGCTAAGGATGGTCTGGGCCAAATCTGCACTGCTTCAATCTTCTTCGGATCTACCTTTATCCCCTCACTCAATACCACATGACCCAAAAATGCCACTAAATCTAGCCAGAAATCACACTTCAAAAATTTTGCATACAACTTCTCCTCCCTCAAGGTCTGGAGCACAGTTTTCAGGTGTTGCTCATGATCCTCCGGGCTCCGGGAGTACACCAGAATGTCGTCAATAAACACAATTATGAAGGAGTCAAGATAGGGCTGAAATACATTGTTCATCAAGTGCATGAATATTGCTGGGGCATTGGTCAGCCCAAAAGACATCACAAAGAACTCGTAATGACCATACCGAATCCTGAAAGCAGTCTTCAGGATATCTGGCTCCCGAATCTTCAATTGATGATAGCCTGAACGCAAGTCGATCTTGGAGAATACCCTGGCACCCTGAAGCTGATCAAATAGGTCATCAATACGTGGCAATGGATACCTGTTCTTCACTGTAATCTTGTTCAACTGGCGATAATCAGTACACATTCGCATAGAACCATCCTTCTTCTTTACAAAAAAGACAGGTGCACCCCAAGGGGACATGCTGGACTAATAAACCCCTTATCAAGGAGTTCCTGAAGCTGCTCCTTCAATTCCTTCAACTCATCCGGTGCCATACGATATGGTGGAATAGAAATGGGTTGAGTGCCCGGTGCCAAGTTAATACCAAAATCAATATCCCTGTCGGGCGGCATGCCCGACAAGTCTGCAGGAAACACGTTCGGAAACTCTCACACCACCGGGACAAAATCAATAGCAGGAGTATCAGGTCCAACATCCCTCACAAAGTCCAAATAAGATAAACAACCCTTCCTAACCATCCGTTGGGAACATAGTCTAGAGAACCTCTCCACTCGATCCTTGTCAACCCCGGCATCGCCAACGTGACGGTCTTAGCCTAACAATCCAGAACATCATGACATGGAGAATACCAAACCATACCCAAGATCACTTCGAAGTCCACCATACTAAGCAATAATAATATCTCCCACTAGCATAGATACACGAACATATGAAACTAAGGACTCACGGTGCATGTCCAGATAATGAGCAAAATACGATGATACATATGAATAAGTGGAACCAGGGTCAAATAATACAGAGGCATCCCTGTGGCATACTGAGACAATACATGTGATCACTGCATCGGAGGCAATAACATATGGTCTGGCAGGGTTAGCATAGAATCGGGCCTGATCGTCCCTTGCTAGGCCTCCCCCTATAGGGCAATCTCTAGCTGTCTGGGCCCCATCCCAACCTGGCTGAGTCGGTGGTGTAACTGCTGGTACTGGTGCCATCAACCGAGAACTCTAAAGTGGATCCCCACTCAACAACCTAGGGCAATCTCTCTTGATATGGCCAAAGTCTCCGCACTCGAAACAACCCCTCCTGTGACGGAACTGCTGCTCTGGATAACCCGATGAACTACCTGTAGAAGCTTGAGCAGATGAGGCATGGTGAGAACTCTGCGTTGGTAGTACACTGAATGAAGACTAGCCTGAATGAGCACCGTAAGAACCGTGGCTAGCTGATACGCCACGATGAGCTAGACGAGTCGTCTGAGCGGGCCTATAAGGATGACCCCTACTTTGGTAGGCCCCAGAAAGTACACCACCGAAATCGGCCAAACCTCGAGGCCTCTTGGCCTCCCTCTAACCCCGCTCCTGGCTACGAACCATCTCTATCTGTCGAGCAATGTCAACCACCTCGTCGAAAGTGGCATAAGATACCCTCTCTCTAGTCATAAGCAACCGCAGCTAATATGTGAGGCCATCAATGAACCTCATGATCCTATCCCGGTCAGTGGGAACCAACCAAACTACATGATGAGCTAACTCAGAAAACCTCATCTCGTACTGGGTCACAGACATGCCATCCTACCGAAGTTGCTCAAACTGTCTGCACAGCTCCTCTCTAAGAGACTCCGGCACGAACTTCTCCAAGAAGATAAAGGATAACTTCTGCCATGTAAGTGGTGCTGCACCGACAGACATGCGCCTCTCATAAGCCTCCCACCATCTGAAGGCAGTCCCAGAAAACTAAAAGTAGTGAACGAGACCCCACTGGTTTCCAAAATACCTGTTGTACGAAGCATCCGCTGACACGTGTCCAAGAAACCCTGGGCATCCTAAGACTCAGCACCGCTAAATGATGGAGGGCGAAACCTCTCAGATCTCTCCAGTCTCCTCTGCTCATCATCAGTCATAACTGGGACCACTGAAACCTGAGCCTCTGCAACCGGCTGGGCGAGTAGTACCTCCGATGTCTGAAGTCCCTGCACCGCATGCTCTGGAGTATGGGCAGCGGGGTTATAAGTACCTCCCCTGACCTGAGAAGGGGTTGGTGCGGCCTGAGCTGAAACCACCCGAGCAAGACCAGTGCAAACTGTCAATATCTGGGCCAATGCCTCCTGAAGGCCTGGAATCACGATGGGCACAACTGGTGCCTGGGCTGGACCCACTGGCTCAACTACATCTGGAACCTTCTCCTGAGCTGGAGCAACTGGTGGATCTGCAAGTGCTTGTCTAGCTGTTGTACGAGCTGCACCTCTACCCCTACCACGACCCCTACCACGACCGCGGCCTCTCATGGCCCTAGCTGGTGGTACTGGTGGCCATCCATCCTGTCTGGTAGCACGTGTCCTTACCATTTATGAGAGAATAGAATACAGAAGTTTAGTTACCAGAACAACAAATCCGCACGACAAGAATACAAGAATGTGAAATTTCTTAAGGGTTTGGCAGCCTCCCAAAGATAAGTACAGACGTCTCAGTACCGATCTGCAAGACTCTACTAAACCTTCTAATGATTCGTGAGACCTATGTAACCTAGACTCTGATACCAACTTGTCACGACCCAAAATCTTAACCTGTCATGATGGCGCCTATCGTGGTACTAGGCAAGCCGACATTTATGAAATAACTCCAACACTTAACAGAAGACGGATTTAAAATAGTTTAAATGATAACAACTCCTCATAAATAGGATAGAAATCCAAAATACAACGCGGAAATTCCCAACATCGGGGTGTCACTAAGTACATGAGCATCTATACATCAGAAGTCCGAAAAATACTATCTATGAAAATCTGAAACCAAATACAATAAGTGAAATGATAGGGAAGGAGAAACAAGGTCTGCGAAACGCTGGCAGCTACCTCGAAATCTCCAAAAGATCCACTGGGCGCAAAAATCAACACCCACTATGTCCGGGAACACCTGGATCTGCACACGAAGTGCAGGGTGTAGTATGAGTACAACCAACTCAGCAAGTAACAATACTAAATAAAGAACTGAAGGTAGTGACGAGCTTTACAATTATAGTTCAATTACAATGATTTTTAAATGGAAGGTAGGCATGCTTTCAAGTTCAACAATTAAGGCCAAAACAGTAATTTCATGTCAAGTTCAACTGAAACAAATCGCAATATCCTTCAAAAATTATCAAGACAGTGATACATGGCAGCTAAGTGCAACATGTATGAAACCAAATACATCCTCTCATGGCCACAGTCACTCAGCCCTCCCATTCACTCAGCACTCGGCATTCGCACTCAGTAGGTACCTACACTCACTGGGGGTGTGTGCAGACTCCGGAACCTTCATCCCAAGCACTATAATCTGCATGGACAGCTCATGTGCTGCACGGACAACTCACATGCTATAATATAATATATGGATATGCACGGACAACTCACGTGCTGCACGGACAACTCACGTGCTATAGTATAATACCTCACAATTAGGCCCTCGGCCTCACTCAATCATCATCCTCTCCAGTCTCTCAGGCTCTCAAAAATCATAAAAAGCAGCCCAGACAACAATGATATGATGCATAAAAAATGAACAATAGAGACTGAGATGTAATATACAAATAAACTGTGACTGAGTACAAGGCAACAATTTAGCAGATAATTCAACATGTACACGACCTCTTTGGGTCCCTACAATGCACACACATAGTCTAAACATGATTTGTGGTTCAATTTCTCTAGTACATGGAGAATAACAGATAACAACAAATTATTCACTACACAATCCCATGAAATTTGACCAAGTAACAATTCCTACGGTGCACGCCCACATGCCCGTCATGTAGCATGTATGTCACCCCAAAACCAAATACATGACACGTAATACGGGTTTTCGTACCCTCAGAAACAAATTTAGAACTATTACTTATCTTAGTCCGAGCAAATCTCTACTCTGATACACCCTTGCCTCACGAAACGGCCTCTGAATTCCTCTAATCTAACCATAAACAATGTGATACAATCAACACGGGCTATAGGAATCAATTTCACTAGAAAATATGAAGTTATTAATCAAATTCCGAAATCGGCTCAAAGCCGGCCCCCGGGTCCACATCTCGAAATTCGACAAAAGTCACAAAACCCAAAAGCTTATTCAACAACGAGTCTAACCATACCAAATTTATGAAAATCCGACACCAAATCGTCACCCAAATCCCCAAATCTCTAGCCTCAAACCCCCAATTTACACCTTAAATACACACCAACTAGGGGACAAATCAATGGGAAAATTAGACTGTTGATCAAAAACGAGAACAAGGGACTTACCTCAAGAATCTCCTCAAAAGCCCTCTCAAAAATTGCCTTAGACCGAGCTTGGAATGTCCAAAATGAAGAAAAATCGTGAACTCTTGTTTTTATATGTTCTGCCTAGTCATTCCGCTTCTGCGGATACTTAGCCGCTTCTGCCGCACGGCTTCTGTGGATTTCAGTTTTGTTGACCATCCGCTTCTGCGGTCTCAACCGCGCTTTAGCGGGTGCACATCTATGCAAAAGAGTCCGCTTCTGCAGACCAGCCTCCCCACTCATTCCCGCTTCTGTGCCAAATTCACCGTATCCGCGGACACGCAAGTGCGGAAAGTACCTCGCACCTGCGACCTCTACCTGCTTCATACTTGACCGCTTCTGCGCTTTCTTTCTCACTTCTGCAGGCTCGCATCTGCGGTGCCCACTCCACAGGTGCGATTACACCAGCAACTGCCAACTTCAACAAATTCTTTAAGTTCAAAACTTGATCCGTTAACCACCCGAAATCCACCTGAGGCCTCCGGGACCTCAACCAAACAAACCAACATGTCCTATAACACGATAAGAACTTAGTCGAACCTTCAAATCACTCGAACAACATCAAACATGAATCACACATAGATTCAAGCCTAATCAACTTTGAACTTCCAATTTTTACAAACGATACTGAAACCTATCAAATCACATCCGATTGACACCCAAATTTTGCACACAAATCACAAATGACATTACAGACCTACTCCAACCTCCGAAATTGGAATCCGACCCCGATATCAAAAAGTCCACTCCCGGTCAAACTTCCCAAAAATTCAACTTTCGCCATTTCAAGCCTAATTCCACTACGAACTTCCAAATTACCATCCGAACACGCTCCTAAGTCCAAAATCACCCAACAAAACTATCAAAACTCCGGTCCGGAGTCATTTACCCAAAGATCAACATCCGGTCAATTATTTCAGCTTAAGCTTTCAACCTTGAGACTAACTATCTCATTTCATTCTGAAATCACACCTGACCCGAACAGACTACTTCAGCAAGTCAGATAACAGTTATAAAGTACAAAATGAGCAATAAATAGGGGGACGTGGCTACAGCTCTCAAAACAATCGGCCGGGTCGTTACATTTTCAGAGATGACCCTTTTGCAAGGACTGTTTGGTCAACTGTGACCCAAGTGGCCAGACTTGACCGACTCATTCAATTAAGAACGAGAAAGACAAGACCCATGATGGGTTGCCTACTTATCTTGACACAAGGTCAAGAATCAGGTACGCGTAGTTCGTGAAGGTTGGAGAGTATGAGGTGTATGATTTTCAACACTTCTTTTACTCTCCTATTTCAAGGCATTACAACTAACTATACTAATTTCATCAAAGATATGTATGAAATGCAAGGGCATAGACAAACTTAGAGTAATGCCTAGTTGTACCCATGATTGGGTGTGGTATCTCTGGAGTTGAAGAGCATATCCCTCCAGAAGATGTGCCCTAGCTGCTCCTTCGAACAGTTGCCTCGATGCCCTTGACTGTTTGCGAGACAGTTGTTGTGGTCGTCTCTCAATTGACTATATGGATGTTTTGTTGCGACCTTCCAGCTATCCACATGAACCTTTGGGTGATCGTCCCCGGCTATTAGTCGGGGTGATAATATGATCAAGATATAGAAATATTGTGAGAGTAATGCCGTCATAAATGATGGAATTAAGAATTGTAACTAACACTCCGCTGATTGTTCGGTTGATGTTCCACAATGTCCGATGTCGGATGCTATTTCACGTGCAGTCCCAGGATGATGCACCTTTCGCCCATCCACATGAACCATTTGATGATCGTCCCCAGTTGATAACAGGGAACGATGTTCTGATCTGAATATAGCAAAGTGGTGAGAGCAACGAAGTCATAAAAAATGGTGAAGTTAATTGTGAACTATTACTCCCCTGATTATCTGACTAATGTTCTACCAAGTCCGAGACCAGATGTTATCTCTTGGGAAGTGCCCGAGATGATGTACCTGCAAAACTCAGAGGAGAAAATGTTAGATTCCCTTTTAGGTGAAGTTATAAAATTAAGAGGGTACGTAGTTAGGCCGCGCAATAGTGGTGTATCCGGTTGTGATCGAAAACGTGATGTCGACAATCCCTGATGGTTCCGGACATTGTGTTGTCCCTCCTGCGTGCAAAGAAAAATTCTTAGTTCGATGGAGGGATGTTGATTCATGTTGACTTGAGTCTTTGCCCGTTCTTCCTTTTTTGTCTGAGTCGTGCGAGAATGACACTCCTTGAAAATTGACTAACGACTTGCCCCTGTAACAAAATGGGTTGACTTGTATTGAATCTTTGAACTTGGGAAGTGGTAGTGAACACCATGAATCTATAGCCAGATGTTTGAAGAAAGGACTTGCATCCCATATGTTGGGATTTAAGTCGGGTGAGGGTCAGAGTAAGGTTGACATGGTATTTTGTTTGGATTTTTTGGGTGATGTTTGGTTGACGCTCTCAAAGATTTCTGGGTTGAGAGCATCATTGCACTATTTCAAAAGAACTGCCCCAACTTTTCAATGCCGAGGAAATTAATTTGAAATAGTGGGGAGACCGAACCCTTATGTAGGGTTGCCTACGTATCTTGCTAGAGAAAAAATTAGGTCAAAACGTAGTTCAGACAACTACTAGAACCACGAGGGATCTGTATGGTTCTCATGAATGATTAATTGTTCCTAGAGAAGAAGTGCAATTACTAGTGTGAATTCCCGGGTGGGTGGAGACTGGTAACCTTTGAATAAGAGATAGATGGTAGCATAGCGCATGGATTTATTTCAAATGACGGAAGTCAGTGAAAGTGTGAGGTATGTTGAGAAGAATACATCAAATCAGTGGAAGATATACCAAGCTAGATTGAAGTATCTTTGAAAAGGATGGTAGAGTCCTAATGATGATGTGATTATGGTGGATGGTCATAAAGACCGGAGTGGGTATGTGCATTTGAGAGATTCAAGGTTCGACACAAGTCAACTAAAATAGTTAGATAAAGAGAACCTAGTGGTGGACAACAAGTAGAAAGCATATGTAGCAGATAGAGGGCACAAAGCAATGGCAGGCAAAGAATATATACCAAATATACAAAGAATATATAGCAAGTAAAGGATATGCGGGGATTAATTCAATTGAACCAAGATGCAAGATTGTGTGTACAGTGACCTAGGAATTCTAAGAGTTGATTTGCCTAGATTCGGATATGAGTTAAGGACAACTGTGAGATGGTACGTAGTTAACCTCGTCTACCGATCTTTGAAACTAAGGAGTTTTGAAAGAAGGTTTGGAGGGGTGAAAAGACAATCCTCGCGTGGCTTGTGTGTGATTGTGCACGACATAGTGTCAATAGAAAAGTAATGATAATTGGATAAGGCAGCACCAAGAGCATGTGTGAAAGAGTATACATCACAGTCATATGTAACAGAATATACAACATAGACATGTGGGAAGCATATACAACATGAGCATGACAGAGAATACGCCGCTTGAAGCGGATGACAAAAGTATACCACTTAAAGCATATGACAAAGAATATGCAGCTTGAAGTATGCAATAGAGGATACTCGACTTGAAGCATGCAACAGAGAATATGCGGCTTGAAGAATGCAACAGAGGATACACGATTTGAAGCACGCAATAGAGAATATGCTGCTTGAAGCATACAACAAAAAATACACAACTTGAGGCAAACGACAAAGAATATATCGATTGACAAAGAATACACCGCCTGAATCGCATCACAAACAATGGACTAATTGTAGCATGCGACAAAAATATACCACTTGAAGCAAATAATATACAACTTAAACCAAGAAATATACAGCTTGAAACAAAGAGTATATGATTGAAGCAGAGAATATACAACCTAAAGCATGTGATAGAGAGAATAAAAGTTGGAATATTGGAGAACCTGTAATCCCTCAACTATTGGATCGAATATGCTGTGGTTAGAACTTGAAGTATCCCCAACAGAGTCGCCATGTTGTTGCACTCTATTTTGCATGAGACAAAATAAACTACAACTTATAGTACTCTACAAGGTTATTAAAGTTTAGAGTCGACACCTAATGTTTAAGGTACACTAGGACACCTATATTACACTATATAATGTACACTTCGACTATGATCTACGAAACCATTGAGATTCTAGTTAAGGGTTCAAGTTATCTCGAGGGGAAGGTTTTAGGCATCCCTCAAGATCCACAAAAGGTAGTTCATGTGGACTCGATCAAATAAGGAAGGAAAGGTTCAAAAGAATGATTAACTACGCCACAAAGGATTTCTATCAAAGAGCAGTCAACACAGTTGTCACGTAGTGAATAAATATTCAAAGCGTGACTATTTTATTTGTGATAAAATTTATACAACAAAATATGCAAGCAGATTAATAAACAAAAATCTTTTTGGGATTTGATTGAAAGAATTGGATTCAAAATAGAGTATAAAGGAAACTTCGACTTACAATTAAAGCCAAATAATTTAACTATAAAAGGTTAGTCTTAATTGAATACACATGGTATAAGGTGAAGAATTATTTTTGGATAAAAACCAACTAGCAATTAGCTTAAAGAAATGACCAAATATAGTAGGAGGGTTGTGATGATAGGAAAGCATAAGAAAGAAATTATCCACATAAATCTTACATGTGATAATTGAGTAATTAAATCAAACATGGAATGTACATCAACAATTGAAATGATCTAAAAAAGAGTTTGAATAAATCTGAAGAAGTTAATTTATGATTAAAGTCAAATAATTACTACAATGAGTTATATTAAGTATATAAGAAAAATATGTGAAAAAATGAATAAATAGTGGTGAAAATTATCTTAAAAAATGAGTAAGTATTTTGTGATTGACTAACATAATTGACTAGATATATAAAGAATAAAACGTAAAAAAGGTTTGTTAAGATGTACAGATATAAAGGAATATAAATTTTTATGACAAAAGAAAATCAGGACCATATAAGAAAGACTTTAGAGTTTGATTTAAAAGGATTGAATAAACAAATAAATACTAATAAAATGCATATATAAGAAATCAGACAAATACACAAAGAGGCTAAGAATATTATAAACCTTGTACAAGAATAGCCTTTAAGACAATAACTCATGGAGAATATTGGCAATTATCGGGTTAGGCCTAAATGGATGTAACAATTGAATTAATCCTAAATATGGTAGACTCAATTATGATTTCTACAAGTTATGTCTAATTGGGGTGTATAATTAAGGAACGATATACAAGTAGATTGGTTCGAAAAGCATCCTAGTATGATTATAAAAAAGGTAAGTTTATTTGTTTTGAGAAAAGATGGAATACTTTTTGTTTTGTTATGTAGTATCTAATTTAATTAATTACATGCATATCTATCCCAATTATCCAAACAAGTTACGAAATATACTCGACATCCTAAACATGTATATATAAGCTTAACGAGTTATATAATGCACAACTTCGTAAGTTAAACGGATTAATAACTTGATGCAACTCATCCTAAGTGTTGGCAAATATGCAAATAATAAGTAAGCTAGCAAATACGTTATCTATCTATGGTTTCACTATACTTGCGTTTTGTACATCCAAGATAGGAAGTTACGAAGTGGGAAGCTTAACGGGAATTTATCTTTTCGTCTTTGAATGTCATCCTCTGAAAGCAACCCCGTGTGATAGTACCTCGCAAAATGAGAGAAAAATGAAATTGTTAGCTAAATAATATAACATAAAAGATAAAATAAGGAAGTGACATGTTTTGAAATAGTTTTTGTTTTAAAATATTTTTGGGAAATTTCTCTTGAAAATGATTTTAAAATGTTTTGTTTTTGAAAGATTGTTTGCAAAAAAAAATAATATTTTTTTGGGAAATTGTTTTCGAAAGATAGTTTTAAAAATAATATAGGATGCTCAGATATATGTAATATACGATATCCGTCTAGACAAGAGAACAGGAACCGCCTCGGTAACAACTCTGGTGGCCAACTGTGTCGCCTTCCGAAGGTTTTATTGGGTCATCGCATCCTCGTCTTTTATTTTTCTATGTTTATCATCATCACCTCATTATTTAGGGCCCAGTCCGAGTGTCATTCGGGGTGTCATGGGGCGTCATGGCCTCAATAACTCGGAGATTATTTTCTCATCGTCCGCAATCTTGTATAATATATGTTCGAATCAAATAACAAGATATATACCGTCACCAGCATGTCAAGAAAATCAGTTAAACCGTTTCCGAAAAGCCAAAAGAATCGATCAGTGGCTGGCCTACCCAAAGTGCACAAAAAGGTCCAAACAACATCAAAACAAAGCTGTCAGCCATAGCAAAATGGTGAAAACAAACACAAAAATGGAACACTTAGAATCCGCATCATCATCCGCCGGAGAAGGCGAAACTCGTCGGAAAAATCAAAACCCATGTTAGTCTCAATTATAAACAGTGATAATGACACCTAACTATCATAAAAATTAATAACCAATCGAACAGTGGGTTGCCAGAAATACACAGGTCTCTTGAAGATGGGCCAACAGTCATAAAACTCCATAAAACAACACACAAAAGGCTAGCCGGCGATGAACTCCGGCTTAATCGAAAGGATAACAGAAACAGAGGAGCCCGCCGGAAAAGCCATAAACTCCAGGTCCGTAAAGAATAACAATAAAAAATCATAAAGGGATGAGTAAAAGAGGCCACCGACATTCAATACTTCACAACAGATCTGAAAGTTTCCGGCCAAACTCTGGCGAGAAGTGTCAATTTCTCCAACCAGTGGAGTCTACCGAAGAGAAAAGAGAGGAAAAGATAGGAATCGCCGCCTGGCCGGTGGTCAACTCCGGCGGCAGCGACCTGAGCGACAGCCATGTCTCTCCATAATGAAGAGAGAATTTGGAGATGAAGAAGGAGCAGACATGGTCTCTCAAAAATGAGAGATTGAGAAAGCCCAAAAAATGGGGTGTGTGGCTATGAGTTCTCTCAATGGAGAGTGAGAGATTATTTAGGGTTTGGGTTATAAAAATCTGATGTTATAAAGTGAGGGAGTGTGTAGGTGTGGGTATATGTATATAGTGAGTGTGTAAATAAAAGATGTTGGTTCTTATTTTAGGTGAAAATATATGTAAAATGGAAGAAATATATGTGGTCAAAATTAAAGGAGGAGGTCATGTCACATCAGTCACATCAAGTCACATCAATTGACTAGTCACATCATGATGTCTTGTCGTGTCAATGTCATGTCGCGTCAACGTCTTGTCACACCAGTTATTGACTGGACATTGAATTTAATCAGAACTGGCTTCGATGTAATTTAATAGACTGTGCTACGAAATAAAATATGATTTTTTAATTATAAAATCTCATACTCCCTCCATTTCAATTTATGTGAACCCATTTGACTGGACACGGAATTTAAGAAAAGAGAGAAGACTTTTAAACTTGTGGTGTAAAATGAGGCACATATATTTTGTGTGGCTATAAATCATTGCATAAAGGTAAATTATTTTCAAATAGAGAAAGAGGTCATTCTTTTTGGCACGGACTAAAAAAAAAATAGGTTCACATAAATTGAAACGGAGGGAGTAGTATTTATTTAAAATGTAACTGCTACAATGGTGTTGTAGTAATTAATATTTTATTTTTGAAAAGACGATAAAATTGATAGAATATCCTAATTTTTGAAAAATAGGACCATTATCAATAAATCGCTTAAAAGTTTAGAAAAACGCACAAACACTACAGTATTTAACTAATTGCAATACAATGATAGAAATTCTCATATTTTGTGAAAATAAGAATAATTATCAATAAATTGCATTAAAGTTTAATAATGTGCAAAAACTACATTTTTGAATAATTGCAATAAAATGACAGAAATTTTCATATTTTGTAAAAATAGGAATAATTATCAATAAATTGTATTAATGCTAAATAACGTGTAAAAACTTTATTTTTATCATTTTTGACTAGGAAGCATGCATAAGTTAATTTTTAAATACGGAGGGTCAAAATTGAGTGTCAACAGTAACCTTGATACTTCTTAGGATATAACTTCTAAAAATGACTCCACTCAACACATTTATGAATTCTTGAATAATTCCAGCTCACTCTCGAACCTCGTCATTCCTAACTGAACTAAACTTGTTAGTGTTTAAGGTTCAAACATGTAAAAATATCATTCCATGATCAAACATACAGGGCATGAGACTCTATGGTCATATTCATTCCAACTCATTGTAGAATAAGGTGGAGGAGGTTGAGGGTCGCCAAAAGTCCAATTCAAATGTTCGACATAGAAATTTGGAGTTTGGGAAAGTGAATCGGTTCTTCTCAAGAATTTCTCCTTGAAGACATTATGTGATTTGTTAATAAAGATAAATTGAGTCCAGTGCACATTTCAACCTTACAGAATCTAGAAGAAAATATGCCAAGTAGCCTATGAGTTTGATTATCTCAAGAGTTATCATCCATGCATCCAGTATTTCATGTGTCCCAGTTAAAGCAAGTGATTAGGGGGTTTTTCACTCGTTGTCCCTATGGAGAATATTGGAATTTATGAAGGTTTGACCCATGAAGAGGTTCCTTTCCATCATTGATAGACATGTTCGGAAGTTGAAGAATGGAGAGATTGCCTCTGTCTAGTGCTGTGGCAAAATCAACTATGTCGAAGAGGCCACCTGGGAGGCCGAGGAAAATAAGAAAAGAAAATGTTCCCATTTGATATATAACCCAATGGTTGTGTTTAAAGAATGTTAGCGGTGTGCTATCTATGAGTAATATTTTAAACTCGTACAACTTATGTTAATATGCCCTTTTGGTAATGTAATGCTTGTAATGTTGAGATTGATGTTATTTATATTTTGTGATGCTTCATTGAGTTGTGGATGTGTTGTTAGGATTGGGTTCTGTGGCTCTCTGACAGGTGGATATACCTAAAAATAGGAAAAACTCTGTCGAAATATTTGGAAATCTGGAGAGTTAGCCAAATTTGGAGGCACTAGTGATTAATGATAAGTAAGAAGAGACGTATGAAGGTGATTAAGTGAAGAGCAAAGTTATCTTGGTGTCTAGGGTGTACTCTAACCCTCATTCGAGGACGAATGATTCTAAGCGGGGGAGGGTGTAAGGCCCCATGAATTTCTATAGCTAATTCGAGCGATTTCGAGCTTAGGAATACAATTTAATTTAGACCCGAACTCTATGAGAAATTACTGGAGTGGATAATGTTATTTGGATACTTGGGGGTAATTATTTTATTAATCTTTGAGTGTTGGATCAATGGGGAACACTTGGATGTTAATTTCAAAGCAATAAAAATACAGAAAAGACAGTGAAATATCTCCCTGTAGCACAGTTATAGCACAGGACGGAGGCAGGAATTTTAGCAAACCAGTGAGCTAAAGCCTTATAGCACTGCTATAGCACCAGTGAAAAACTACTGTACCTGTACCTATTAATACACGAGCGGGGAGAGAGAAACAAAAGGGATTTCAAGGCTAGGGCTTTTCTCTCCACCACCCATTCGACCAAGACTTCCAATACACACTAAAGGTGAGGTTTTAAGTGAATTTTTATGAAGATTTCACTTCTCAATCATTAGTTACAATAGGGGTTTGTCTTGGATTCCATAGGATTTCTTCAAAATCTCAAGAACACTCCAAAAGTTGGCTTTCAAGTTTTGGGCTACAAGCGGTAATTCTTCACCCTTAAACTTACATGTATAGATTGTTAGGGAATATATGAGCAAGAAATAAGTATTAGCACTTATGGGATGGTGATTGGAAGCCATAAGTTCTTAACCTAGATTATTGGGTGTTGTAGAGATTTTGTAATTAGTTAATTAGTAAATTTTGGTGGATGTTAGTTCATTAATAATTATAATGATGCTAAAGAAGGCAGTTAGTAGTCAAAGGATATTGTAGTATCTCTTTTTGGTGGGAAGAATGGATTGTTGGATGAAGAAACACCACTACTAGAGGTAGTAAAATGCTATGCACTCTAGGTGTTTTATAAAATGCTAAAATAACTTAAAACCTGGAAAGTTTTACTAATATTTATCCAATTGAATTATGTTGATGTAGATTGAAGTTGTAAGAGTATTTGGAAATTTTAGTATCACTAAAGAGCTAAATCGAGGTATGTTGGCTAAACTCCCTTTCTAGAATCGAAATCCATGAGTTCCTCGTAAGTTCTAAATGTGGTTTGTTCAAACTCCTATCCCAACTGTTCCAAATTGCTTTCGAAGATTGATTTGCCTAAATGCTTATGTAGTCGAGTCATGTTTGAATTACCCCTATCCTATGATGCTTCCCATTCGTGGGAAATTATTCAAATATGATTGTTGTAACTAATGCATAATATTTGAATCCATGTGTCAATTGTAAATCACCATGCTCTCCCTTGTAAATATTTCCAATGTGTTTGAGTTCTTATATACTCATGAGTTGAAGCTATAGATATCATGCTCCCCTTTTGGAAAAAGTATTCCATGAATAAATGGTATATTAATCTCTTATGATTTTAACTTGTATTTCAATTGCCAATCATTATGCTCCAATCTTTGAAAGGAATTCATTACTAATGAATTACTAATGAAATTAAACCTATGATTTCTAGAATGTTCTATATATTGAGGTTTATGATAATGATCCTTTGAAGTATAGAAATGAAAGTGTGAAATATGAAATGTGGCCAACGTGCCATGAATAAGGAACATTAGGTATGGCCAAGAGAGACAATGAAATGAAGATGTTGTGAATGGTGAAAAGTGAAATGAAGCGATAGATGGCATGAAAAGCTATGAGATGAATATATTTATATTTCTATTTCCTTTATATACAAAATATTGTTGGGAGTATCATTAGCGCACCGAGGAAGGGTGGGTTGTAAAGTCCCACACCCGAAACTATACGTGCCGGTGTAGGAAACGGCTGAGTGATAGAAACTTTCTTGTACTATGATGAGGTTATTCCCCTTAATTGGGATGAGTTTGTTGCTAACACCTATTTATATCACCATGTCGACCCACACAACATTGTGGGGAGACGACTTAGCCGATCGGGTGGTGATTGGACACCATGCCACATACATGGTGGTTCCTCCTTCTTATCATTATATTTGATTCGTATCATCATGTTGATCCATATTCATTCCGAGTGAGACAGCTTAGCCGATCGAGCGGAGATCAGACTCCATTCCATGTGCATGGGGGGTACTGGGTATCCATGTCCACCTGCATACATTGGGGTGAGATGACTTAGACGGTCGAGCGGTGATCGGACTCCATATTTCGTGCATGGTGTGATGATCGGTGGCTAATGATCTCCCAACCAAAAATATTAATGCTTATTTGAAAATTGGTTATGTTTTAACTTGGGTTTTAGATATTATTGGTTTTCCTTGCTGCTTTTATGATTCTCTCCTTCTTATCACATTCTATTCCATGAGAGAGTATTTAGCTTTACATAATAGTACTATTCCATATGTACTAACGTCCCTTTTGCCGGAGACGCTGCATCTTTAATGGATGCAGGTGGCTCTGCAGCAGGCGGCTCGGGTTCTTGATAGGTGTGCCCTCTTCTCAGCTGACTCGGTGAGCCCTACTCTATATTGGGGCCGTATGTTTGTACTGACACCTTTATATTATTTTGAGATATAGCCGGGGCCTTGTCATCGGCAACTCTATACTATTATCATGTCATTTAGAGGCTCCGTACACATACTATGGGTCTTGTTTTGAATGGGAGAAAGCTATAATTATTGAACCTGTCAGTTGATCTCACTTTCAACCTATGAACTTGTATTATTTTGCCTTCTACAAATGAATCTAATTTGTGAAATTGGAAGTGTACATTTTACCCTCTGGTTTGACTATCTATTCGTGAGTTATTTATAGGCAAGGTTGAATGGTAGGCACTAAGTAGGCTTGCTTGACTGGGGTAACTCGGTTGAGTGCCGGTCCCGCTTCCAAGGTCGGGGTGTGACATGCCTGGAACTAAGTCAATATCAAAATCAATATCCTTATCTAGTGGCATACTGGCAAATCCGTATGGAATACCTCCGGAAACTCTCTCACA